TCCTTCAAATCAGGCAAAAAGAAGGACGCATTTTAAGGCCGCATACTTCGAATCTGGCCTTCTAAGGATGCGTCCTAGGTTTTCGAACAGAGCATAAGACAGTGAAATAGAGCCAGTTGAATCTCAGGAGGCTGAAAATATTGAGTTTGAATTTTAAAAGGTTGAATTTTTTTATATGCAGATTTTTTTTAACACTGAAAAATTTTACTGAAAAATAAGTATTGAAAATGTAATCACTTTGAAATAGTAATGTGAAATTTTAGCTTGAAGAGAAAATAACATGAAATTTCAACTGTGTAGAAATAATGACAATAATTTTTTTTTTAGGTCAAAAATGTGTTCTGAACATATTTTAACACTGAAACAGTAAGTACAGAAAAACAACATTAAAATTTCAGTGGCATTTTTAATTCAAATCCCAGCGACACAAATTTACTTCCATATCAAAGCTGCTAAACATTCTGTGACAAGTTGTGTAACAAATTAAAAAAACAAGTGACCAGAGAAACAATTATTACCTTCACAGCAGAAGATGAACAGCCATCCAGGGGTAAAAGTGATGTGATACTTTTATTTTCCATTTCACATAAAGTATAGTTATCAGAAACCAAAACTAGTTTGATTGGACACTGTAGCTGTGAAATATCTTATAACTGTAACACATTTTTAGTTTTACTTTTCAGCTGGTTGAAATTAAACTAATCCATGTTTAGTTTAGTGCTGCAACAAATTGTTATTTAACTACTTGATTTACAAGTTGAAAATTTTTAAAGAACCCATTAATAATCAGAAAAGATTAATTAATAAGATTAAGATTAATAATCAGAGAGCAAAGAATTAAATAGATTTTTTTATAAACAATGTAAAGTTAGGAAAGTTCAAAATACGCTATCTGAGGAGGATGAAGCAGGTTTACTAGAAAGGAAGGTTATTTTTTTATTTTGATTGTAAAATGTTTATATTTTTTATACAGACGGCTTTATCATTGCTATGCTGGGTCGCTCTTTAAGCAAATTTTAGATTCTAATATGCATACTCCAGTAAACATTATTCCATTACTAAATTAGTTGGTGGTTATTTTAATAATTATATAACCAGGATTCATCTGGTTATTTATTTCTGCCTTCATGATTAGTCAACAAATTAACAGGGCAAAAAAATGATATCTGTGGAATATCTCAAATATATAAAACTGAATAAACAAATGCGAAAAAAAAAAAAAAAGCTTACGCTACAGGAGATATAAATATGTTACACTTAAAAAAATAATGCAGATGTTTTTGGGATTTACTTAATCATATATAGTTACTTTAACCCAATTGTTTCATGTTAGCAGGGTAGGACAT